CAAAAGTAACCAAGGAATTCCCAGTCTCTAGCCTCTTCTTCCTGAATTTAAAAGCAGAATGGGATTTCACGGGGGTGGGGGGGGGGATCAGGACCTTATCACAATACACCTGATCTAGCCAGCGGGTAGTTCCCACAATAGCAAGACTTCCTGAAAGAATTTCAGAGGAAGCCAGGGGAGTGGTGGACTCTAGGGGATCACTAAGGTGTGAAGGAACAACAATACAAGGGAGGACTTACTACTTCAGGTAACTCTTTTTCACCTTCTCTGCCTTGAAAAAAAAATGTACTTTTATCAAAATCATAGGATTTCTTAAGAGGTCTCTTCTCTACCCTACCTCTGTCACCTGAATGTGATTGAGTGCAATTCCTATGATCTTCCCTGGCTCAAGCAAGGACATAGTCATTTACCAATACCCCAACTCTGAAAGGAGAAAAGGAACAGTGAGCTATCCTAGGCAGACCCTTAGGCTGATCTGGCTGTGGCTACCAAGCCCTGTCCAGATTGTGCACTGGGCTTGCTCTCTGGGAGGGCTCAGGGTTTTCACTATGAATAGTGTGAAGATTCTCTGTTACCTTTCAAGACTTCTCTGTACCTGCTCTAGACCAGGGCCCTGACAGCAACTTGTAGTCTCTGCTGGTCTTTGTAATATCAAGTCATGGGGAAGATATGCATTTTTTTTAGGACCATCTTTCCCTTTTTTCTAGGTTTGACAGCAGAAATAACAACAGCCACCACTTATCAAAAGTCTATTCTATGTCCTGTACCAAGCCTCACTCAACTGTTCTCATGAAATATTTACAAAACCAGGAACAATTTTCACCATTTAATTAAGGAAGAACAGCAGGTAGAACAAGTTTAATGAGTTGCTCATGGTTACAAACAACAAAAAAAAGTGACAAAAAGGGTACTCAGAATCAGATCAATCTGAGTCCAAAGCCCACTCTCTATCTGAGCTAATGAGTATACACCATCTTCATCATGGCTGCTGGACAGCTCAAACCAAACCTCCAAGCTTCGTTCCAATCACATAAACTAAATCTTACCACAATAGGTTCATTTAACCAAAGGCAAAGGCTGAGTCCAGATGGACTTGGTGCCTCAGAATTCTCTCTGCTTCTGGGGACCATATTTAACTTTTGGTTTGTCTCACATCTCCAGGTGCCATCTTCCTCAATTTGCCAAAAGACCAAATTACACTTCTGCTTCTACCAAGACTTCACTGATAGACTCAACTAAGATACCACATTCAGTATAGAAATGAAAACTTCAGAAAATTATCACAAGGTTGACACAAAGAGATGAATGCCACAAAGGCCAAAACAAAGTGACAGCAAGGATCCCAGGAGGCATGTGAAGCCAAAGGTGGCCTACATCCTGAAGGTTTCTCCTGCCTGAAACATGGAGCCTTTGAGCTCCTCTTTGGTGGCTCACAGGATATAGTGAGGCAGAACTGGAGATCAGGGTATGCCCAAGATGTGGGTCTTTTATACAAAGGTGGGGATCTGATGGTCTGTACATTCAGCTTTACAGTGAACTAAATGGAAACAAGCCTTGCACAAAAGCACAAGGTAAGTACTTCCTACTCAGATTTTGGCACTGGCTATAGGGGGAAAAATTTTTTTTAAAGAATTCTTCCCTGATAATTCACCTGGCCTAGCCTAGGTTTGGAGACGGATCCTGGGCACTGAGATAATATGATATAGGGTGGTCCTAAGTGGTTCTGTCCGAAACATACACAATGTTAACATGCAGGACTCAAAGAATTCCCACAAATTTCCAAGGAAAAGAAGAGCTCACAGCCAAAGGGTGAGATAAAAGCCCTTGTCCTTGCCCTAGCCTTTCTCCATAGGTTACTATAAGCTCTATTCACTTCCAACAGGTACATCTGAGAATTTTAGCTCAGCTTGGTAAGTGATCAAACATGCATTCATCTCTTCCTCTCTTTTTATTTCCTTCTTCTTTCTGACATCTCCATCTTCTTGCTGGTAGCATCTATCTCCTTCCCTCCACCACTCAGTCCCTCTATATATTTTCAATATCTCTTTCACATTCTATGTTTTGCAAAATAAACTTTCTCGTCATGATTCAACCTTCAGGATCTAAGTACCCGAGCTCAGGTCCCAACTCTGTCATCCATTATATTAGGAGAAACTACCTCACCTTTCTGGACCTCTTTGTTCTAATCTGTACAGAAGGCTAATAAATTAAATCTAGCTCACAGGATTTTTGTGAGGATTAAAGTGACAGTGCATATGTTAAAGCATTGGAACTAGCAAATACTAAATGTTCAATAAATATCACCCAGCATGAGTGACTTTCCAGCTTCACACACTTCAAGGGATGATAAACCCTTGACAAAGACCCATGGGATAAGTTTGGTCGACCACTTATTTTCGTACAGCCTGTGAGCTAACAATGTTTTTTACATTTTTCAATGGTTATATTTTAAGTTATTATAAATTATTATGTTTAAGAAAAACAAGTACATACACAATATCTTCAATTTTACGTCTTGGCTTACAAAAGTCCTAAATTTACTAGTTGGCCCGCTATAGAAAAAAAAAATGCCAACTCCTGTTCAAGATTCCAATTATGCAGTGAAAATGGAAGTACTCAGTTGTAGAATTATAATTCTATGCACACTTTGGAAGAAGCAGACTTATACTCCTGCCAAAGTGCTGGGGGGCAGCAGGAGGTTAGAAGGTGGATTAAACCATTTTCTGCTTGCAATTTCTCACAATTAAATATCTTCTGCCTCACAAATGCCCATTTTACATAATAATGTTTTGAGGATAGAGTTCATTGTGGCTCCTAGACAATGTATAGCTAAAAAGAAAAATGGCATTCCCTGCAATGGTAAAGAATGAGAAAGAAAAGGGCATCCTCAGAGCTGGAGAATGGAGAACCGCAATCACCTGAGACTGAGTGGCATGTTTCTTGTTCCAAAAATTTGATAGCATGCTAAAATATAATTAACAGTATTGAGATCAAGCTGCTCCAGACAATATGAAATAAAAGCCTCTATATGCCACAAGCTGAGATGGCAAATAATTGCTTGCGTTTCACATTTCCACTGCACTCTGAAGTGAAAAGCGAATGCCTTAGGTTTCGAGCCTCAGTCTCAATTTTTCTCTTACAAAAGTATTCCATCTCTCCCTTCCAGACAAAAGGGGATTTCAGTTGGCCAAAAACTCTAGTTTGAAATAGAAACATTGTCTTCAATGGTAAAATCCAAGGGCCCAAAATATGCCCCTACCTCCCAGTCACTTACCTACCCACCAAATTTTTTTTTTCCACATGCTGTGGCTGAAGGCAGGGAGCAGTCATAACTGCAGGTGGAACGGGATTAATGTATCATTTTCACTGTTATTAAAATTCTTCCTTTTGCAGAGTATAATGTCTCTTAGGCCCAACCTAATTCTTTCTTAGCCGTAGGCTGGAACTCATGTCCACAACTGATTGGTATCATAACAGCAGCATTAACCACATTTTCTTTCTTTTTTTTTTTTTTTCCTGTGCCTTTCTCTATGAGGCTCAGGTCTTTTCATTATAAATCTACACTTTATGAATAAATATTAAGCCCCTAATTGTTTACAAGTTTGGTTCAGCCACTCGATATGAACATGTCTTGTTCATCATTGCCTCTTGGCACCTAACACAGCGCCCAGCAAGTAGCAAGTCCTCGCAAATGCCTGTTGAGTGAAAACAGCAGTGATGCAGAATCATAAAAGCAAAGATGCTGGAAGACAAACTTTGCCTTCTTCCCTATTTAACTCAGGACCAGTCTTGAAACGAATCATATGATCGAAATTTGATATAATGCCCTCCTGGGACAGTAATCTGTTCCTAACAATAGCTATTTTGCCCCTCGTGATTACTGGCAATTATTCTTACATCCAAAATGCATTAGCTTATAAGCAGCAGTGGCTCTGACCATATATCATCTCACAGTGTTAGTAGTTTAATGGCCAATGGGCAAATTCCTTTTCCACTCTCAGAGAACCAACAGTGATACATATTGCCTCTTGCTTCCAAACATTTTTCAAGAAAAACATTTTGATAAAGCCTAATAGTATCAAAGACCTGAATGGTTATGTTTACTATAGGTGGTCCTATTTCAAGTAAGACTAAAACAGTTTTGCAGTAACATATTGCAGATGCCAAGGCTAGAAATATTTCCATTATAACATATCACTCTAAATTCCGGATAGGACACAGAAAGAAATGAAACATCACAAGTGAAATTTAGATACCTACTTTTGCAGTCATCTTGGCCAAAAGCTCCTGTAAATCCATTATTCCTTGCACCAGGCTTAAGAAATCACTGCAGGTTGGGCAAGCTCAATAAAGAAAATATAAAATTTATATTGATCTTCTGCTAGCATAAGGAAAAAAAAATTAAACAGTGGTTGTTTGGAAGGATTTCTGCTTTGCTATTTTGGTTAAAATTTGAGTAAAATCACAGAAGACTTCAGGTCTAGATCTTTTCCTTCTTTCCTTATTATTTTTTTTTTTTTTTTTTTTGTGTGTGTGTGTGTGTGTGGTACTGAACACAGGGTTGCACAGCCAGGCAGGTTAGATTGCTTTTTATCCACTGAGCCATAATCCCATCCCTTTTTTTAAAATTTTGAGACAAGGTCTCACTAAGTTGCCCAGGCTGTTCTCTGCAACTGGTGATCCTTCTGTCTCTGCCTCAAGTTGCTGGGATTACAGGTATGTACCACCCACACCCATCAGGCCTTTTCTTTTTCAATGTAATAAAAGAGTGAGAGAGAGAGAAGGAGGGAGAGAGAGAGGTGGGGAAAAGCTGTTAATTAAAAATAAAGGCAACATGACATTTTACATTGAAATTAAACCCTAATTTTTATTGCAAGGTGACTGGAAAATGTACCATAACATAGAAGAGGAAAATTCAAAGAATAATTCTATAAAAACTATGTGTGTATATGTGTGAGTATGTGTATGATTATATTAAATATGCATTTGTTTCCAAATACAGAATCTACTGTTTATACTTTTCTTACCTTCAAATTTTAATTTTGCAAACAAGAAACAATCTTTTGAAAAATTCAAAAGAACTATGCAATATATATAATAATTTCACTTTTGCTATCCTCACCACCTCAGAAGTTAGCCCTGCAGTTTCTCTACACCCTTCCAGATGTGTTTCTGTGATATTATGAACAAGTTATATATTCTTTTAAACGCACGAATGCTGTACATTGTTACTTACTGCGATTTAGGTTTGGACACTGTGTTATGTATCCATTTGGCATAAAGATGATTTTTCCATCTTGGATGATCCCCTTGAAAAAGAAGAGACAAGGAGCAATCACAATTACAGTCAGCAGGTCAAATGGCCCTGTGAGATCTGACAGCGGAACAGGTCAGATTATTTTTGAACAAGACTGATACATTCAAAAAGTGAGTTCACCCTTTCACACTAAACTACTCCAAATCATCCTCTTCTCAGAATCTTGAGATGTACATTCATTTTGAGAAAGCCACAGTTAGTTACCACTAACTAATGCCAATGAGATCACAGATCCAAGGACCCATCAGTAAGTGTCTTTAAACTACCAGACTAAGAAGGCATGGGTGCAATAAAATCCTCCTCAGCACCCCAATCATCCTGGGACGTTAAATATTGCTAATTTTCGGGACTTCCTTTAAGAGTGGAAAGAAATAAGTAATAGACTAAAATGATTCTGTTGATTCATTTAGTCAAAGAAATAAAACTGAACATCAGGAAAATTCTGTAACAATCTTCCCTCCTCAACTGCATGAGTAACATTGAGACTTTACTAGTAAATCTTTAGATTTGTTCAACATCTGTCAGATAAAGGTGATCTTTTGAAAACTGTAACTCAGTCTGCAAAAATACCCCAAATTTAAGAGAGTCATCAGGGGCAGCATCTGTCAATGAAAATATTGACTTGGCTTTTGGGTTTTTCAAGTTAAATTTAAGATTCTGTTTTTAGGTCTATTTGGTTTTTGTCTTTCTTTTTTTTTCTGATTTGATGGAAGAGAGATTATAGAACAGATGGGAGATGTGGAATCTGGTTTAGAATATTGAGCTTAATCTATAAATAAAATATAGGCTTAAGATAGTGCTGCAAGACGTTCAGAGGGAGTAACATTTAACATTTATGTGCTCATCTTCTAAACAGCAGAAGGCAATCAGCAAATGCCATTTTCTGCTTATTATTTCAAGATAAAATATTAATTGAAAATATTAATAGAAATAACAGGATCACAGCACCTCTTCAGCCAAATTATATACATTTATTAACCTCTTCCTCTTACAGGATGATACACCGTTTTTGATTACCAGAGGAGGCAGCCTCATGTGGGGAAGGAGTCCCTGCCACTGCTCCTTAAATTAATTCATAATCTCTTGTAAGGGTATACTAGGGAGCAATTAATGGAGCAAAATCCAAGTGAATCAGCTTCTCTCAGGACAGGGCTATTCATTTTTTTCAAAGCAAATTAACTCCTTCAAGAGGTTAGGGCAATTTTAAGCACATTTGGCACTGAAGAAAAATTCAGAGGACCTGGGTTCAGGTTCTAGATCTGAGCCTAGTCCACCAGGTGAGCCTCATGTAACTTCATCTAAAAAAGGAAGTCCTGGATAAAAAAAAAAAAAAAAAAAAAAAAAAGCTAGCAATCCTAGCAAATTCTGAGTCATTTATACAGGAATTCAAATTGGTACTATTACATTTTAGATCTCTGCTTTCATTACCTTTCAAGTTTACTTGAAAGGTAATGAAAGCAGAGATCTAAAATCTCTAAATTGATCAATCTAAAATTGATCATATTATATATGATCAATCCAGACAGACAAAGCTATAGATTTGCATCAAAGAATAGACCATCATAGAGAAATGAATATTGCATTAGAAAACATCTGTCTAATCAGGTTGATCATGGATGAATCCAGAGTAAACAATCATCCTGGTCTGTCCAGGACTTAGGGATTTCCTGGGACATGGGAAATTTCAGTTCTTAAACCTGTGAAGAGATTCATAGGCAAACCAGGTCAGCTGGTGGTTCTAGATGATACAGAAGTGGTAAAAAACACATGCACCAGGAAAGGGCTGGGCCCATCTATTTTCTGTCTATTTCATTCTTATTTTATCCTCTGTGGAAAGGGCAATCAGAAGTCTGGATTTCATTAGTCATGTTATCAATTACCTTTCAGAAAAGGGCTGGGGCTGGAGCTCAGTGGCAGAGCACTTGCCTAGCACGTGTGAGGCCCTGGGTTCCATCCTTAGCACCACATAAAAATAAACAAACAAAGGTATTCTGTCCATCTACAACTACAAAAAAAAATAAATAAATAATAAAAAAAGGAAAATCCACTGAAAGAGAATATTCAATCCTGTTTATCCAATAGCAGTATAAGCTAGGACACAGTAATTTTCCTTGTCTTTTTTTTGACCCTATTTATTTCAATTTTGATAAATTTCAAATTGTTCCCCCTACCTTTCCTCTTTCTCTGTATTTCCACTTTTAATCTCTGGCACAACTGTGTAAGCTTAGATCATTAGGTGAAGGTCAATGATGTTGACTTGAACAAAAACAGAAATAAAAGCTGACAGCTTCCCAATGCTCATTAACACAAAAGCTCAAAGTGCTTGGTATTTTTCCGAACAAAGGTCAGAAAGGTCAGCCCACATACTGGCATGAAAACTTGTTCTTGCCAGATAAATCAAGATAAGAATGTTAATTTGATAGTGAATGGATGGAATTTGAAGGTGGGTTAAAAGAAAGGTGGTGATAGAAAACAAATATCAACTGGAACCCCAAGAAGTCTGAGTGTATGCGTATGCATGAGACTACATGCATATGTGTGCATTTCAGCAGGTTCCTCAGCATAAAAACCAGAATGTCTTGCTCTGAATTGCTATGTGGATCATTTAGCAACAGGACACTTGTCAATGAAGAAACACTTGCTAAACTGCAAAAAGGAGCTTTGCAGAGCATGAAACTACAAGCTACAAAGTAGCTCAATCGGACTTAGTTCTCCAAAAACCTATCTATGAAGGCTTCCATAGATGAAAATGTGCCTTCCAGCACTGTAACTTCTCCCAGAGAGATGAAATAAGTAGAATGTCTATTATTTCTCCACATTTAACCTGAAATGTATTATACTTAACTGAAATTGCAAATTAGCTAGGTTTATGTCAGCTGACTTTGTTTTATCTCATTTTTTCAGACCAATGTTTTATTTCTTATTTGTCTTGTCAATGTTGCTCAAGCTTCAAGTTCCTTGTGTTCCTAAATACATGAGCATTTGTTTAACATTCAAATTCCTGGCCCAGTCCCCAAAGAATCTATTTCAGTAAGGTTTATGTGGGCTTAGGAATCTGCATTTTTCCTGTATTTTCAAAAGCTGTCCCTGATGACTCTGATAAAAAATAAAACCCTGCTTTATTGTCGACCCTTGGCTTCTTTTAGAGCAAGAGGATTTATTTCCTAAAAGTTCATAGCATTTAAAATATCATCCCAAGCCTACATATGAACAAAGTAAAAATCTCACTGACTTGAAACTGAATAGAAATCAATGGAATTACTAGATTATAAATACCATCAGGACAAAAGATCATATACTTTCATCTCAGTATCCCCTGCTGTTTCTATTGTGGTAGATTTCAAATCATAGGCACTGTAAAATATTTTAAAAGCTAGAAATTCTAGAAATTTATACTATATTTCACCACATAATTTTGAGAGCTGGTAGGGTCACATAGGTCATTAGTTTTTAACCTAAAAGTATCAAAATTAGTTTTTAACCTAAAAATATCAAAATTTTCAGACAGATTAGGAAAGGATAGTCTAGTGTTATTTTGAAAAAGATTCTGAGTTGATTTTGAACCTTTAATGAGAACTATTGACCTAGGAACAAGGCATCCAGTCATTTAACCTATGAGAAACTTAAGTATCTAAGACTTCAAGTAGCTTTCCTAAAGGACATCTTAATTCTAAAACATACACTACATGTCCACGTGTTGCAAAACCAGTCCACTATCATAAGCTATAGGTAAAAAAACACAATTCAAGGGAGGCCCATGGCTAATGTGCTAACAAGATAATGCTACAAAGAGGTAAGGACCTCTTATCAAAATGAGGCTTTATCTTTATTATTATAATAGATACTAATCAAACAAACTATAACAAAGTATTTGCATTAGACACATTAGACATTGTTTGCCAAAATAGTTTTTCAGGGTTGGAAAACAGAGGTGGCTTTAGGTAGCCCAATATTCCCCCTGCAATCTTATTTACAGTATTAATTTGGGAAACAATCTATTTCTCATTGTTTGTGCAAATGCTAAACCTCAGCAGATCTGAAAATCTAAATAAATCCCTAAGGTATAGAGTCCAAATTAATAAGATTTTACAGTTAGTGAGAAACCAGCCTCTACCTCAGAGCAAAGCCTGTCCAAGGAAGGGAGGCGTGACTCTTTTCCTTGGAAAAACCCACAGAGCACTCCTAGGCACATACTCATCCTGCTGAGTTGTTTATCTACAAATAACAGGAGAGATCTGCAGTGCCAGGTGTTCCTGACTCAGTTAGGCTAGGTGAGGACCCATAGCAACCCCCTAGCAACCACCAATCAGCATGAGACAGGGAAAATACCTGGGATGCCAGATGACCTTCCCAGTAGTTTTATGGTTGTTGTTAACATGTTGGGAAACCATGTAGTTCAGCACATACTCCCCTCGTGGCTTAAACCAATCAGTTCAAACGAATTCCCCTCTTGTACTAACCAATCACCCCTACCTAACTTGTTCCCGCCAGTGAATGTGCTAATTATGTTTTAGAGTTGTTTTATTATTTTCCCACGGTGTGTGATGATTTGCTAAGAGATGCTATGATGTATGTGAAGTCCCTGCCTTCCCCAAAGAGTGTATAAAACTGCTGCAAACCCTGGGCTTGGGGCCTCTCAGCGTCACTAGTAGCTGAGTACGCGGAGGACCCAGCTAGCTTGCAATAAACGCCTCTTTGCTGCTTACATCGATCTCGGTCTCTGGTGGTCTTTTGGGGGTCCCAAACTCGAGCATAACATTAGTACTGATAGATGGGGGGAAATTTGATAGTTTTTTCTTTGTATTTTTAATCCACCTGTTGTCACCCTATACCTTCTGCAGTCAGCACCGAAATAGAATTTGCACCAAATAGATTGTACATTATGGGTTTTTAATGTTCAAGGAACTAATGCCCATTATTCCTAGAACATTTTTCATTTTGCAGTAAGAAATATAGGAAGGTACAATAAAAAAATTAGAAAATTATGCCATT